CGTCGTGTGCTTTCTCAGGAGGATGCAGCTCTCTTCTAATTAGACAAGGGGCTTGCTCGAAAGGAACCCGAGCTGCATTAGAAGAAGACTGCCATAGTTGCTTGATTTCTATTAGCAAAATCGGTTCTGTGCATTGCACTGCGACGGGTGAATGGCTTTTTCTCTTGCAAGTAAATGAGAGAGAACATCCCTTTTGCACTGTAAAGAAAAAATAATAAATTTGCAATGGATATTTTTGGGGGACAAAGTGATCATATTAATTTAAAAAGCTATAATTTTTTTTTTGAAATTTTGCTCAAGGAATTGAAGACTGGAACCAAAACTTTAAAACTTTTTTTGTGTGTGAGCTTCTGAAAATGGGATTTTTTTTCCCCCTCTCCAGCTCCATTTGCGCCAAATAGATTTTTTACATAGTGTATTGGGAACATTTTGGCACAAGCATGGACTTCGGGCCATGCTCCTGCAGCAATACTCTCATTTATTATGAAGAAAACGTAGCCAAGAGCTCCTTGCGGCTGCATGGTGACTGATGGACCGTGCAAGGGGGGAAGATAACACGGGTGCACACACATACACAGAGCCAGCTCGAATGGCTTTGCAGGGAGACACACGCAGCAGATGCCCCTAATTGCCCGTCTCTTGGCCGGCTAACGCAGTTGAGGCACTGCAGTCAAAATGGGCCTCGAGAGGGAAGTTGAAGGACGGCTGAGGGCAGTGGCCTCCTGGGCGAGTCCAGCGCCCCGTGTAGCAGTGGACGCACGGAAGAAAGGACAGGGTTTTACAAAAGTAATGAGGGTTGCTAGCAAGGTGAGAGTCGCATGTGGCCACTCTCGTGTTTGGTGCTGCATCTTGGTTCAATGATATTTTGCCAGTCCGAGAGACTGCGTTGAATTGATGAGCTGAACACTTCCAGTTGCTCTCCAAGACTTTGCCATCTCCTCATTCGTGTCTGTGTTTTGTTTTTCTCTCAGATGTCGCCAGCCAGAAATGGAGTAAGGTTAGTCCAGCTCTTCCTCTTCTCTCTGTGTTCTCCTGGCTACGGCGGTTCAGGCTTCCTAGCAGCAATGGGGAAAGACCACGGGAATTAAAGGCGGATCAGGATGTTGCACAGCGCTGCAGGCCGGAGTAAACGTCTCGGGGTTCAGAGAGACATTTCGGTGTTAGAGCCTGGGGTAGCTCTCACCAGTTATGGGTTGGATGCGGCTGCATCCTTCTCTGAATGCATTTTGGATATTCAGAGAATGGCTTTTGGATGCTTCTTGGAAAGTATTTGGTTAAGAAACCTCATGAGATGCAGGTCAGACATAGCAGGAGTTGTTTTTTTAATGATACTTGGGGTTTTGGCTCCTGATCCAAAAGGATCTGCAGGAAGCATGTGAGAATGTAAAATATGCAACATTTAAACTAACACTTTTGACTCTTGGGGGAAAAGCCACTCAATCCAGTTGCTGAGCAAAGCGGCAGCTCCGCTCATATTTTAGCCAGACCAGTTTGGTTTTTCTCAAGAAAATCCCAATTTTATATACAGACCCCGAGGCGTATCGCGTGCCCTGGGCGGCCGGCTGTGCTGGTAGCCGCTGCCCTCGCACCTCCTTGGCGTCCGCACCCAGGCTAGAGCCCTGTCCCTGCTGCTGCCCGTTACCCGACTCTACAGATCAATGAACACATCCTTAGCTGGAGTATGGATCCCGGGCAGCCCGTGTTGCCAGTTGCCCGCCCGGTGAGGTAGTTGAAAAGTGATTGAGAGGGGAGTAGTAATGCCCTTCTCCCTGAACATTTAAAACTTTGCTGGGGTTCATCTCTTGCAGCTGAATCACTCGCTGGTGCGTGGAAGCCTTGCTTCTGCGCTGCGGTACGCCGCTCGCCGCCGCGAGACCTTTCCGCTGCAACGGGGCAAAGTTGCCCGACAGACGAGCTGTCTGCATTACTCCCTTAACCACAGACATCCCTCTCCTCAGAGATGTAGTTCAAGAGATTGAGGAGGATCACTTTAAATACTTGGTGAGCCCTCCAGCCTGTCTCCCATGTGCCAGTAGCCTGCCATATAGCCCTATGTCTGTAGGTGTATATGGTAGCAATGCTTTATACTGTTAGTCAGCCTGGCTGTTTGAACCCCACCGTTAGCCACGTCATGACTTTATTCTGCGTGTTGTGTTAAAGTGCAATTCAGAACAGGGATTAGGAGTCTAAATCAGGACAGAAGTGGCTCGTGACAGCTGGAGGGCAAAGACTTTGCAATGGTAATGACTCCCTGGGGTAAAACCCCAGCAAAGGGTCTCAGGGGGAAGCCCTCCATGCACTGCTCTCTTTACAGTTTTTTCAGGACCACTGCAAAGAATATCACGGCATCTCCCGCACTGGGGCGTTTTACTGCAACAGAATTAACAGCCCTGTCCGTGGACCGGATGGCAAAACGCACCTCAACCAGTGCCTCATGTGCAAAAAGCTGATGTGAGTATTAGAAATAAACAGCTGAGCGGCGATAGAGATGCTCTGCGAGAGCTTGCTTGCCATGCTCCTTCCCCGCCTCGCTCCATCCCCGTGGCCTGCATTTCAGGCTGAGGAAGACACCGCAGCCTTTGGCAGCTCCCACCTGCCCCCAGCCCATCCCAGTCCAGACTGGTCACTCCTGATGTCCCCAGTGCCATCATCAAACTCAGGAAACCCGTTATTTTTCATTGTCCAGCCAAAAATCCAAGAAGAGGAAAAGAGAGAGCAGCATAAAGGCTTAGCTTCTGGTTTTTGCCCATGGGGCATTTAAGGGCAATTCTGCATTGAGATGATGTGGTGGAAAGGCCTGGTGAACCAGGCAAAGTGGGGAGAAAGGCGGCGTACCCGCAGTGGAAGGATGTGTAGCACGTTGTGGCTGCGCCTACACGAGACGCTAACGGCACAGCAGCCTGATAACGCTGCAGCAAAGGCTGTGGCAGTAGCTAGCAGGAGTACCAGGCTGCTACGCAATTCCTGCCTGAAAGACCTGCGCGCTGGCAGTGCCGTGCGGTAGCGCGAGTCACCGTGCATTGATTTAGCACTTGGTTATCCAAGTACTAAACTTAAGGCGCATTAATGAACATGTAGACGCACCTGCGCATGTTCAGCTACCTTAAAGCCCTGGTTTTGCTTGAGTGAGGACTCGGGGGTTTGCAAGACCGGGCCCTTAATTATTAGCCGCTTCGGTTTTATGTCTGAGGACCGTGCAACTCCTGGCCATTCACTATTCCCATTTCTGGCTGCAGGGGAAGAGGACTCAATAATGCCGGGAACGGTGGAGAAGGCAATGGGAAGGAAAGTGGAAGCAGAGACTCGTCAGGAAAGGTGAGGTGTATCGCGAGCCAGGCTGCTACCAAAGCCCGGGCTTACCGGATCCCCACGCGGGCGATGTTAACGGGTTGGACTGACGGCAGCGGAGGCAAGTAGAGCAGTGGGGACTTCAGCCCAAACTGCACGTGGCTTGGCAGGTCCAGGTCTGCGGGGCTGCGCCGCAGCAGGGCTCGGCTTGGGAGGGCAAGGAGCGACCGTGCTTTCTGCTAGCGCCGAGAAACCAGAGGTCAAAACAGCTCCAGTCCTCGCCCACGGTCCCTCTCAAGGAATTGCTGGCCTGCCTGTGTCTGTGTCTTCTCTAGATCCTAATCCCTCGGGGAAAGGTCTGGTGCCTTCTCCTTGTTTGTGAGGTACCGGCCAAGCTGCCAGCGTCAGGTAAATGATGAACGGGGAGCTCTGGTTAAGGCAGACTGTACGAACAAGTGAGCTCTAATTCGATCTCATTTAAGTCGATGGCTTGCAAAGCGGGGCCTCCTCGGCCTCTGCGAGTTATGGCAGAGACGAGGAAACGTTTCCTAGCGCTCCCGGCACGGGGATTGCAGCCCCCGCAACCAGACCGGCGCAGGTTGGACGAACCGTGTCCTGGGTGGGTCAGACCGCGACGCTGCTGCCTTGTGCAAAGGGCTGGGCTGGATCTGACCCCGCCACCAACCCGGGGTTTCTCTGACGCTGTTTTCTCCTGTCGCAGATCGACTGCAGTGAATACGAGGAACTTTTCAAGAGCGGACAATTTTCCTGCACGAAGGAGAACGACCCCGTGCGCGATTCTTTGGGCAAGGAGCACAGCAACAAGTGTCTCCTGTGCGCGGCGCGGTAGTGAGTACAGGGTGCCTTGGCTGCGGCGAAAAGCAGGGCGGTGTGGGGCTCGGCAGTGCCCTGCTCACGCGCCCTCCCTTTCTTCTCTTCCAGCAAAAAGGAGAACAGGCTGAATTCTACCCAGAACAGCCCCGGGGAATTCGTGGGAGTCAAGGTGAGGCTCAGTGTTAAGCACGGGGGGTCCGAGCATGAATGCTCTGCCTTTGCACCCAGGGTAGAAAGGATAAAAAGGCCAGCTCTGCGCTTGCGTTGTGCCCAGCTGCTGCTGCGTCCGTACTGGTCGCAAGGCAGGAGACCCAGGCGCTCCTTCTGGCTCCAGCCTCCTGTTTGTGGGCATTCGGTTTGCAAGTCCAGCTCCAAGGTGCAGTCTTGGCCCATAGATCCCACCCGGCCAGGAGAGCAACCGGCTTTGTCCCGGTCATAGGTTAAGGTCATGGTCTGCTGGCTGGGAGGAGGCCAGTCCCCAGGCCTGAAGACCTAAATGGGCTTGAAGGCAGCATTTCGGCCAGAAGGAAGAAGATGGGAGAGACGTCCCTTGTCGGCAGACGGGAGCAGGGGAGCACGCTGCACTGCTCTGACATTCAAGGATCCAAATCCTACGTCGGCTGTTGGCATTTGCCTCTCCAAAGCTTTCCTTAGGATCTGCAGCCACCCAGACCTTATCGTTTGCTGTTATTTCCAGTAAATGGTGGGCAGGTAGGATGTCCGGGGCGACAGTTACTTTCTCCACGTTCTTATACGAATTTGTTTCTCAGTGGGAATGACCAGGCTGATCGCGGGTCCTAGAGGTGTTTCTCAAGCATCACTCTTGGGGCTGGTCTGATAGAAAATTCATCAACGGCTGGTGCAAAAGTCAGAGCCTGGCAATGACATTTGCTAACGATGCCCTGTGCAGAGAAACGGCCGTTACTGAAGTGGATTGGTGTGCAAGTCAGGAAGACCCGGACGACCCCGAACACTGGAGGCACAGGAACGGGATGGCATCGAACAGTGCAAATTGCCGGATCACAGTGTTTGGGAGCCGCAGCAGGAGCTGGAAGCTTGTTAGTTGGAAATGATGGAGACAGACCTGGGTTGCATTAGGATGAGAGCCACTGATGTGGTGTCCTGAATGCGAGCTTTGCAAGCATCAGGCGTGGTATTTCCAGTGGAGATGAGAAAGCTGCAGTACCTTTGCGCAGGACCCTGGTGAGACCCCAGCGGGGATTCGCTGCAGAATCACCCATATTTCGGAAAGACGACTTCCCTGGCGCAAGGACAGGAGACAGCTACTAGGAGGATGAGAGCCACGTAGAACCTGCTTCATGAGAGGAGGCTAAAGCTCCTTGGCTTGGCTAGTCTGGCCAAACAGGGGCGGAGATGTGACTCGTTGCCCTGCAGAAACACAGGCAGAGGGTCCAGCAAGGAGGACGAAGCTTAAAGAAGCTGTGGGCGTGGGACCAAAGGGGGATAGCCCTGCAGCAAGTAAACTTCACCTGGACGTGGAGGGGATTTCTAGTCCTGAGCAGAGGAGCTTGCCTCTACACTGGCTTCCCCTGGGATGCACGGACTACATCCCGGCCTCCGCCTGGGATGCACGGACTATGTCCCGGCTTCCCCCGGGGATGCTTGATTTGAAAAGAAACTTAAGCAATGTATGAATGGGCTCCTCTGCCGTGGCTGCCTGCAATAGACTGGGGGACATCGGCCGTCCCTTCCCGACGGAGGTTTGCAAAGCCTTGCCGTCACCTTGATGGGGCTGGACACGGCATCAGGAGATCTGCGGCCTGGGTGTGACCTCGGTGGGGAGCTCTTCAGGACTGCCTTCTTCTCACTCCTACGTCTTGGTACAATACCAGGCGCCCTGTTGGCCTGCGACCAGTAATGGAAAGCAAGAATATTGCATGTGAGCGCTGACGAGCGGAGGGTGCGGCAGCATATTAATGCTAATTGTGCCTTGTTTTTCTGGATGGTTTACACAGGTAGCCCTGTCCGTACCTGGCTGATTTTTCCAGACAGCTCATCTTTTTTGTTTGAAAGGCCTCTTTTCTTTTCAAGCCCACATGTGTGACTGGAATGGGGTTCAAAGGAGATGGGGATGGTGCATTTGCACCAGTTGCCTTTCAGCCCCTCACTTTTGCCTGAGTGAGCGGTGACAACCTGTACCCCCCCGTACATCCAGGCTACTTTAAAAATCTGCAAGGGAAAAGGGAAAGCTTTTTGCATGACAGATCAAGTGGGAATATCCTCAGGCTCATAAAAATTATGAGAGAGGAAGGATAGTTCAGTGGTACCAGCCTGAGATCCAGGGACCCCGGTTCAAATCCTTGCTCTGCTACTGCCTTCCAGCATGGCCTTGGTCACGTCATGTATTCTTTGTTGTGTCCAAGTCCAGCCCCACCAGTAACACTGCAGCAGCATCACCAGTCTCCCTTTCCTGCATCTGGTGGGGGCAAATATGTTCAAGATTGTGAGGTGCTGATCCCGTGGTATGGGGGCAGGAGACTTTGCTTAGGTGGATCCGGAAAGGCTGTGAGATTAACTCCAGAACGGGCGCTCGACCCTCCTGAACCTGGGGACTTCCGGAGGGAAGTTGTTCATGCCACCAAGGAGGCAAAACTCCAGTTTAATTCATCAAGCTCCATTATAGGAAGGTCGAGGGGGTGCGTTAACTCGCTATGGATGGGAGAACTAATTTTTGTCTAATTTAGACTCAGTCAGAAATGGGGGCGTTAACATCTAGAACAGAGCAGAGGGTCTCGACTCCCACCCATCTGAAGTCAAGTTAAAATGCTGCTGGTGAAAGATCTGCTGGTATTGCAGAAGGATTTAAAGGGCAGGTGCTTTTTTACTCTTTTTTCACGCACCCTTCGTTGTGGCTTCCCGCACATATTCGAAGAGCTGGGCTGCTTGATCCCGACAGCCGCAGAACTCGGGTTTCCAAGGCGGATGCATGAATGTGATTGGAAAACAAACTTTAAATTGATTTGTGCTCAAATACTTGTGTGATCATCCAGAAACCACACCCCATCACTTGTCCTTTGCAACTAATTGGCACAGTCGTATGAGAAAACTTCCACTGGCAAATCCCTTTAGACATTGTTGGGGCCACACTGCCAGAGCTGTCCCTACGCTGAGATGTGCACTCCTGCACTGAAGGTGTTGCTGAGGACAGGGAAGTTACCTGGGGTGTGACGTTCAAGTCGGAGGAAGATGTCACAAGCAAGTTGTAACACACAGATGCAGTTCCACGTCTTGGTGGAGCGATTGCAAAAGGTCTGCGAACCAAACAACCCCGAGTGCTCAGAGAGTTTCGTTTGGTGTCTTAGGGCAGCCGGGCTGAAGTCACTGGAGACGCGATGCACTGCGAGGAAGCCTAGCTGCTTCGTTAGGACACGACAAGGCTAACGAGAGAAAACCCACCCTCTCACGATGTGCTTTTCCCTTGGCAGGTTGACTGCAGTGCATATGAAGAAGACTTCAAGAGTGGGACACTTTCCTGCACACGGGAGTCGGACCCGGTGCGGGATTCCTCCGGCAAGGAGCACAACAACAAGTGTGTCCTGTGCGCAGAGCGATTGTGAGTAGAGAGAACGAGGTGGAGCCTCTGCTGAGGCTGGCGGCTTGCACCCCCATGTGATGGGGAGCAGCAAAAAGCATGCGGTGCCCTACTCACGCTCCCCCTCTCTTTTCTCTTCCAGCAAAAAGGACAATGGGATGACCAAGGAAGACGAGGTGAGGCTCAATGTTAAGCCAGGGAGGTCCCAACATGACTGCTCTGCGTTTGCATCCAGGGTAGAGAGGAAACAGCCCCACATCTGTCCTTGCATTTTGCCCAGCTGCTGCTGCAGTCTCGCGGTGCAAAGCAGGGGACCCAGGTGCTCCTTCTGGCTCCAGTCTCCCGTTTGTGGCACTCTGGGCTGCTGCCACGTGCAAACTTGAACAGATTCATAGATTGTAAGTCTCGGAAGATCTCCGGGTCCAGCCCCCGCACCAGGCAGGGATCACGTTCTGGGAGGGCAAAACCCTTGCTCCAAGCCACAGGCATTTCCCATCAGGCCAGGAGACCCGCAGGCAGAGTGCTGGCTCTAGGTCCCAAGGGTGTCATTGTCTGCTACTTGCAACGGGGCCAATGTCACCCCTTTTCATGCCAGCCCCAGTCTGTCTCAATGGACAGACCATTGCAGGGGGGAGCCGCTGCATTGCAAGATGATCGTTGCAATGCTGCGCTGAAGGGACGGGCGGTCCCTGGAGGCATCCCTCAGCATTGCTTTGGCATGCGGCTGGTTTAATATTTTCAGTTACGGCTGGTGCAAAAGTCAGAGCGTGGCAACGAAAGGTGGTGGTGACGCCGTGCGGGGAGGAGCTGTCAGGGCAGGGAGGACCCCCAGCAGCAGCGTGGTGTGGGGTGGGCGAGTGAGTAGGGCACCAGCTTAATAGAGGCACCAGTATCATGCCCCTGCCCCTGGGAAGCCCGTTCCCCATGCCGTGTTGCTCTTGCCAGCAGCTGGGCACATGGGCAGTGCACTGCGGTGCTAGGAGCAACAGCCGGGTGTACAGACCATCTGAGGCTGTGGCAGCAGCAGAAGTCAGGGCCTGTTTTTTGAGTCCCTGGCATAGGTAAGACTCCCGGGACACCCTCCTTGCAACCCTCTGGTGCTCAGCAGCACCTCTCTGGCCCCTGCTCCCAGGGTTTGTCCGGGCTCGTTGTGCCTCTGCCCCTGTGGACTGGATTCACAGAAATGGCCTGGCATTGAATACTGCAGATTGCCAAGCCATGTTGTTTGAGACCCATCAGATGCATCCCTGCTGTTGGACTGGGAAGTTCACCTATGCCAGGCCTGGGGTGTATTAGTCCATCAGGGGATGACTGAGAGCCACCAATGTGGGGCTGTCCAGAAAAAAAAGGCCCGTGCAATCCTTGGATGCATCGGGGTGGTTTTTCCAGTGAACGGTACCCTGGTCAGCCCTCAGCAAGACTTCTCCATAGCATTCAGGTCGCCCACGTTCAAGAAACAGGGCTCTTGCGACGCTGTCTACTAGGACGAGCAGTGGAAAGGACAGGCCTTGCTTGGCGCAGTCTGGCACAGCATCCTCTGAGAGGGGATGCAGTTGCTCTCTAGGGAGTAAAAGCAGAGTAGAGAGACGCTAAAGAACAAGGCTGGGACAGGGAGAGATGGGTGTGACCTGGAAATGCGTTCACTGAGGCCGAGCTGAGAAGAGGAGGTTTCTCCCCAGCTGCAGGTGCACGCGTGTCCAGCAGACCCTTGCAGGAGGCAGTGGTGAGGAGCTGGCCACCTCCCACACAGGCTCTGGGCTTGGTAAGCCAAGTGTTCCCATCTAGTCCTACCTCTGTAGGATTGCTGAAGCTCTCCGTTCAGCTCTGGGAAGACGTGGATTGCCAGGTCCCCAAGACGCCGGTCCCCTCCTTAGCTGGCAGCTGTAGCAATCGTAAGGAGCTATTCGAGACTCGGTGTGATACCCGGGGAATTGCAGATTGCATACGATAAAAACCTCTTGCTTCTTAATCCACTTTGATGACATGGAGAGGTTTGGGACTGCTTCGTTGTTGTGATTTGCTCCACAAATTAAATAATCTTTGCTGTGATCTGCAGAAAGGTTGATTCTGCTTGTTTAAGGATGTTGGGACAGGAGCGAAGCCTTCGTTCCACGATCGGGCAGACCCGTGGTTTGCTTCCAGAGTCCAGCTGGAGGATTATAACGAGGCAGGCCGTACGAGAAAACTCCCAGCACGTGCGCCACAGTCAGAGGCGTGCACAAGTCCTGTGACTCATGCCTCAGCTCAGATATCTGATGCTGGCTGATATGGTACACCTTCTTCCTCCACCACACCCAAGTGCTTTATGCATGATGCATTTGTTTTGGTTTAATGCTTTCTGGCAAGAAACCCCAAATGTCTAAGAACCCGGCCAGCAAAACAGGGGAGACACCCTGAATGGAAATGCTCTTCTCTCTTCGGCAGGACGAGTGCAGCGAATATCGGTCACAAATCAGGAACGGTGGGAAACTCTTCTGCACGAGAGAGCTCAATCCTGTCCGTGACGCCTCCGGCCAAGAGCACCCCAACAAGTGTTACATGTGTGCAGACAAGTTGTGAGTATCGAGGCTTTTCCTGGAGTAACCAGGTAGAGCCCCAACAATTCAGAGATGGCAGATGTCAGTCAGGGGCTGAGATGCTGCAGAGTCCAAAGGTGCGACTGCAAGAAGGCGCTCTCCTGCCTATTGCTTCTAGGCAGGAGCAGAGACCCACCTGGGCAGGTCCCCTCGCCCTGCGGGAACCTGCGTCTGCCCTCCAGGCAGCTCCCGTGAAGCCCCCGCTCGCGAAGATGCTTCTCCCAGCCCGGGGCTTAGCAGGCAGTGGGCCGTAGGGGAAGCCCCCGTGGGAAGGAGGGCAGAACAGCCCAGTCGCAGGTGTCGTAACAGGACAGAGGCGGTGTGGGCTAGCACACGTGGCCCACCCGTCAGCCCTGCTTTCTCTCCTCTCCCTTTCTTCTAGCAAAAAAGAAGCTCAAAACGGCGGTCAGTCTCATGTGAGCTCACAGTCAAGCCAGGTGAGGCTGAGCGCGGTAAGGGGTGCTGCCTGGCCCGGCGTTCCTGCACCAAGGGGACGGGCTAGCATTGCTTCTTGCTGCATGGCAGGGCTGGCTGGGGCATTTGGGGGACGCTGGAAAAGGCCAAGACACCAACGCGGAGGCTTTCTATGCAAACGAGGCAGTTCTGATCGGATCTGCCAGGAAGGTTTCTTCAGTCCAGACCAAAGCCAGAGAGGGAAAGACTCGCTCCAGGCTTCAGGGAGGTGGGAGACTCTGATCCCAGCCCCATGTCAGGCCGAGCAGGGCTGTGAAGGCAGGAGTTGGGCAGTGCCCCAGCCCGTGTGAGCCCTGGCTCGCGTGTCCCCTGCTCCCACCTTTTTTTTTCTATTTGCCAAAAAAATTCATGAATGTTTGCATTGCTGCAATGCAAAACAGACGTCCATTTGGGGACCTGGACGGGTTGCACACAGTGGATTGTATCTTCTGTTTCCCGGCCAGCTCTCCTGTGCAGCTGCCAACACGCTGGGCCCATCCTCACTTACTTCTCAGACCGGGTCTCTCTGGCGCGTCATTCTGCACCGACGGTGCCTTGCAGGCCAGGCCCCCGCTAGAAACGATGGCCAGGATGAGGCAGCCACGTGCGAACGCTGCTCTCCTGCTTCTTAGCATAGGGGATGATGGTCCTTTTTGAAACAGCCTCGCAATAATTCAGCATTGTGTGCAGATGTGGCCAGCCTTGTACGGGCTTTCTCCACCCCCTCCCTGTGTGCGATGGAGGTGGCTGTATAATGGCAGCAGCCAGCAGAAGCCATCGCTTCGCTGCCGGGCGGGGCGGAGAGGTCAACTGCTGAGCTTGTGCGGCTGAAGGTTTTATGGAGTCTGCGGGTCGCAGAAGGGTCTGTGCTTCTCCTCCTCCTGCTTCTGTGGGCTTTTACCCAGGAGGTCGGCGTAGGGGTGAATCTGCCGGGGTCATCTCCTGCCTGCACACTTGCACGAGCGGTGCCACAGCCCCCCGGATCTGCCGGTCCCACCTCACAGAACAGGACCACGGGATTTCTAGTCGTTTAAGGATCTGCATGCTCGGGACAGGCTATTTTCTAGCACACCCATACCTGCTTTTCCTGCCGTGCTTTGTCCCACTGCCTCGCTTGCAGCTCCTTCTTCCACGGGCAGGACATCCATGGTAGTGCTGGCCGTGCTGAGCCTGCTCCATCCCCTTATCCGTCAGTTCTCCCTCCCCTCAGAGCTGCGGGGTCAGTCCTGCTCCTGTCTCCTTCAAGATCCTCTCGCCAAGGCTTGTCCAAGCATTGCTGTGCCCTCCAAGCAGGGGCTGGCCCTTCTTCTCTGTGCACTGCTCTCCCCTTCCCAGAATTTGGAGGTGGTTGCTTTGTGACTTAGGATTCAGTGACCTTGAGAAATTGGAGGATTGGGCCAAAAGAAATCTCCTGAGGTTCAACAAGGACAAGCACAAAGTCCTGCACTTTGGAGGGAGCGATCCCCTGCACCGGGGCAGGCTGGGGTGACGGGCTGGGCAGCAGCTCTGCAGAAAAGGACCTGGGGGGACAGGGGACAAGAAGCTGAACAGGAGCCAGCAGTGCGCCCTTGGTGCCAAGAAGGCTACCGGCATCCTGGGCTGCATTGGGAGGAGCGTTACCAGCAGATGTAGGGCAGTGATCCTTCCCCTCTATTCAGCACTGGGGAGGCCACATCTGGAGTCCTGTGTCCAGCTGTGGGCCCCCACTGCAGAAAGGATTTGGACAAGTTGGAGAGAGTCCAGTGGAGGGGAACAGAAATGGTTGTGGGGCTGGGGGACAGGACTGGTGAGGAGAGGCTGAGGGAACTGGGCTGATTGAGTCTGCAGAAGAGAAGACCAAGGGGGATTGAATAGCAGCCTTCACCTCCCTGCAGGGGGACTGCAAAGAGGATGGAGCTGGGCTGGTCTCAGTGGGGGCAGATGACAGGACAAGGAGCAATGGGCTCCAGTTGCAGCAAGGGAGGTTGAGACTGGATATTAGGAAACACTTTCTCACCAGGAGGGTGGTGAAGCACTGGAGCAGGCTCCCCAGAGCGGTGGTGCAGTCTCCATCCTTGGAGGTTTGTAAGACCTGGCTAGAGAAAGCCTGGCTAGGATGATGTAGTTGTGGCTTTGAGCAGGGGCTTGGGCTAGATGTGACCTCCTGAGGTCCCTCTCAACCCTCCTTTCTACGATACTGCAATTGAGGGTGGTCTTATATTGCCAGAAGAGGTGGCTGCAGAGTCCTAGTGCGAACGGGAGGGCCTGTGGGGATCAGAGCCTGTGCAGAATTGGGTATCGGGGTGCTGCTCCCAGATTGCCTTTGGTAATAACAAGGACCGAGGGCAGAGGCTGCTTCTAGTCCATCCCTCCTGGCAGACAGACAAGAGACACACTCTGCCCGGCAGCCGCTCTCCTTGCAACCTGCCTCTGCTCCTCTTGCAGAACGGCTGCGGCGGTTCCGGGTCGCAGCAAGGAGAGGACGGGAGACCTTCCTGCCCGAGCGCTCAGCCCAGCTGCGGGGGGTGAGTATGGCCAGACTGTGCTACCTCCGAGTGATACAGGCAGCGACAGGCCCTGGGTATCAGACCGGGGCTGCCAAGACTCGGGGCCTTGCAACATTGCCTCTGTTAGGATGCAAGCAGTCAGGCCTCTTCTAGGTGTAACTTGTTCACCCGCAGAAAGCTGCCTGCCCAGCCGTGCTTCCCCGAGCACACTGGCAAGAAACACAAGCTGGCAGTTTCTATGCTCAGCAATGCCCAGGTCTGCCTCTCCAGCAAGCCCCATGCCCGGGAAGTCCTGTGCCTCTGCCCTCTCTCAAAATACCCGCTCCTGGTATCCTGTCTTTGGCACACGCAGCCGGTATTTTAGCCCCTGCCTTTGCAGGCAAACACGCCCCGTTCATGGCTCAGCTCTGAGCTGACGTGCTCTGGCCGGTCTTTCCTCTTCTGTCGCTGTCTGTGCTGCGCAGAGGGGTGCGACGGCTCCTCCGACCGAGCCCGAAAGAGCACTTGGACATCGAGGAGGTCTGTGCTGGTGCTTGGGATCAAAGGCTTAGCTTCCTGGCTGCAATGGCACGTTTCGAAGACAAGCAATAATAGACATCAGATCTAGCCAAGATTTTTCCAGTGAGCTGCCAAAGCCCCTTGGCCAGTCCCACACCCTTCACACATGAGATGGAGGAACAGAAAAGGCTCCAAACAAAGCTTCCTTTTATTGCCCAAGCAGTTGGCTTAGACATTTGAAAACAGTAGCAGAGTAGTCTGTGCCACAGGGGAGGCAGGGAGCTGGAGAGCCGCTCCGTAGCTCCTCAGCACCGCGCGTGCACCCAGCTCGGTTGCAGCCTTTACCTACGACAAGCTCATCCTTTCCTCTCCGTTCCCGGCAGGTCACGGGGAGTCCCAGGCCAGTCCGGTGGAGGTTGTGGACAAGACGACAAAGTCACCCAAGCAGAGAACAGAGAGGCTCAGTACAAGGAGGAGGTAACTCGAGCTTCGGGTGCTAATGCGGCCCTGGAATAAGTGTGAAGGACCAGTTGCAAGGTCTCTGGGTAGTAGCAGTCATCTCAAAGGCGGAGAAGGGTGGTGAGAACGATGCAGGGCTTGGAAGACGTCTCCTATGAAACAGCTTGAATAGATGGGGAGGAAGGAGGAGAGTAAGGGGGGGACACGACAAACACACCTGACACGGTGAGCGCTCTAGACATGGGAGACCGGGGTTTCTATCCTGGTCTGGGAGCACAGCAACGTGCGGATGTTCAATGAGCACCAAAGGCGGCACATCCAGCATAGACACGCAAAGGGTGGAGGCTGGGATGCTGTTGAGAGCAAGGTTTAAACCAGACTGGAGGTGTAGGCGGATAGCAGCACTCTCCAGTTCCTGATGGTGATGGTGTTTGGAAGGTAGATGCAAACTGATGCTTGGGGGCAGACATGAGTCTTTGGGTAAATGCGATATCTTTGATTAGACCAACTAAATAGTTGGAAAAACTGTTCTTTGCAAGCTTTCGGGTACAAACGCCCTTCTCCAGGCACAGGGAGAAAGAACCGTGTCGCTTTATGCTTGGCGGCTTCAGCTCATCCGAGCGGGATGTGGCACCCCGAGGTAGCACGATTGCGCAGGGTCCCTGGGGGCACGCCCGAGCACCTGGGAGATGAACACTGTCATGTAAGGCATGCACTGAACAGCACCGTGTGCAGCATGCAAGGAAGGGCCTGGCGGGGATCTGCAAAGGTCAGTGCTGTCGGATTTCACTCCAGCACTAATTATCCCAGAGAAGGAGCAAGCGGCATGTTCATGAAACGAGCAGGTGATGCTAAACCGTGAGGTCGTGTGTTAACTGACCTCAGCGCAGCCTTCGGTTGTCGCGCTCCCGGGAGCAGTCGGCTGTCAGATCCGATGAGGAGAAGCCCCTTCCCGGTGACTGCTAATCCAGGCGCGCGGATCCAGGCCTCGTGCCGCTCGGTGCCGGGAGAGCGAGGCTTGCCCGGCCGCCCTGCACGACCACTGCTCCTCCTGGGCAGGCTGCGCGGTGTCGGGGATGGGGAAGCCCCCTTAATGACCTCTCTTGCGTCATGCTACATGCCTGAGTTCGATGCAGATAATTGGACAGGGAAAGGTGTGCACGGGGTGAGAGAAACGAGTGCCCTGGCCCGAAATATGCCGTCTCTGCTCCAGCGTCTGCAGCATCGGGGCCCAAGCCTATGCAACCCCCTTTGCGGGGGGTTGAGATAAAAGACTTGCGAGGAGGAACCGATTCCCCCGCCCCAGCCATGCTGCACGCGTGCTGCTCCCGGACGGGCTTCCCACAAACACCCTGTTTGCGTGGCTCTCAGGAAAGAGGAGGGCATGCTTAATTGCTCCCTTAAATCACTGATGGCTGCTAATATATGTTTGCGTGTCTGAACTTGGCCAGGACAGGAAGGCCTGTGTCTGAGCTCCTGAGCAACATTGCTCTCTGGTGGCTACATTTGCATAAATCCAATAAGTGGGAGAGCTCGTTAGTGAATTACCCAATAAGCCAGCCCCTTTCCACCTATTAATCACAACATGAACGGGCTCCACGGGATCGTTTTCTGTTGTAAACAGCTGAGGAGAACAAATCTCAGCTCTACCTTGTTTGCAATCCATGCACTTGACCTGTCTGCACCCAACCGTGTTCCTCCTTTCTGATTTAAGGGATGACTTGTTTTAAGCCAAAGAACAATGCCTGGCAAAGAGCAGGGCCCCTTGTACTGAGAAGTCAATGCCCAGGCTAAAGTCCATGAAACTTTTGGGGGATATGTGGCTTTTTTTTACGAATAAGCTAGCACCGGCCGGAAGCTCAGCGTCGCTGATCGGGGGACCCTCCAAGCCACAGCAAACTGTTCCGCACGGCCCGCTCTGCTCTGCTCTGCTCTGCAACCACGTCTGCACCGAGGGGTCTCATCCTACCTGGCAGGGGAGATGGCACCATCACCGCCGGGGTGGAAGGGAGCATCAGTCCAGGTGGTTTTGCTGTACCTGGAAAAGGAGATCTTCTCCCTGACCTTGAATGACTTTGTATAGGGGAGGCTGGAGAGCCTACTACAGCTTCCCAATGGGAGGATCTTGGCTCCACACCGCGCTTTATGGAGAGGGGGGATTTCTCCCCAGCTTGCTTCTTTGGCCTTTTGGCTAAAGGCCAGTGAGACAAGGGGGCACCTGAGCCCCAAGACCCTCTGGGCTGGGGGCTCGCGCGCAGGATGCCTGCCGTGCATTTGGGAGGATCTGAAGCCCCAGGCTGGAGTCTGGGTGGCGCCATGTGGACCTGAATGACCGGGCTCTGCTCAGCAGACGGCATCTGGAACGGATTGCACTCGTTTGGCCTGAGACACGAAGTTAAAAACAGATAAGTAAGTGGGTCTCCTCGGAGGAAGAGCAGAGAAACGCCAGACTTCGGGGCCGCCTCATCTGCGAGGCAGGAGCAACTTTCCTGGCAGGCAGCGGTAGGAGGCTGCTACCTTCTTGTGTGGGCCAGACCTTCAGAGAGAGATGCAGCGTGCACGGACCTGGGTGCTGGATGTTTTTTGAGCAGCGCGGCCTGGTGCCGCCGCCTGACACATCTGCTTACACCTCTCACACCTGCTGCTCGAGCCAACAAGTGTGTGTGGGTGTGCGCTTGAGACAGCGCCGGGGTTTCGACCTTTCCTGGAGAGGAAAGATCTCAAGTGCCGTTCGATCCCCCCACGCTGCCTCTAACCAGACCAGGGATGCGAGGCAGCTGCAAACCTCATTTCCTTCTCGTTTCAGCTGCAATGCAATCGGCTGCTCTACGGTGTGAAAGGCGGAAGGATTTTCTGCCGGTCGCCTGCAGTCCCTGTTTGTGGCACCAATGGAAAAACCTACTTGAATAGATGTCAGCTGTGCTTTGCAGCGAGGTGAGGGTGACCGGCGGGTCTCCGTGCCCCACAGCTTCTGCGGCCGAGCGTGTGCAGCAGACCGGGGATGGTGCCCGTGTCGTGGCTAGTAGCCCAATGTGTCCTTGGTGTCTTTCCACGTGGCAAGCACAGCCCGGAGCGTGCAAAGATAAGCTAATGGGCATTAAGAGCCAGCAATGCTGGTTCGGATCCGGCACGCTCCTGGGATTCCCTCCTGCTCCGGCTCGCGGAGGGTTCTGGGGTCACCGCACGCGTTGTCATGTCCTTGCAGGTAGCAGCAAAGCTTATGGAGGCTAACGAGGCTTCTCCTGCTGCTGCTGTGTGAGGGCCCGCGCGGGGACCCCTCCTAACACCCCTCTCCCTCCTGCAGGCAGTCTGCAAGCTCCCTTTCGCTCAGGCACGTGGGGAAATGCACCAGCCCTGCAGAGACGACGGTAAGGCCGGGGGCAGGAGCTCCCCATTTCCAGTTCGACGAGGGGACGGGGATGGTGTGCGGGGCCGCTCTGCTGTGCTGTGCTCAGACAGGCCGTGCCGAGGCGGCACCTGTCCCCGCACGCCGGTGGAGACGAGCGACAGTGAGACCGTGTTTGGGGAGGACACGCAGCCGTCGGGCTCGCCTGGCCGCATTGTGATGGCCAGGAGGAAAACAGCCATCCTGGCTCTAACGCGGCAGTCCCCCCGGGTATTTTATGCAAGCCAGGGTCAGATGTGACGGAGGCTTAGAGAGGGGCCAAAACCCCTTCTTCCCCCGGCTGTCTAATCGTGCATTACTTGGGGCAAGTTTGGCTCACGTTGTGGCAGGGGCGACTGCGTGGCTTTGCTAAGAGGTCAGACAGTGGGTTGAGCTGGGATGGGTTGGACCGGGCTGCTCCTGTCTCCGGCAGGCGGTGGACGAGGTGCGACCTCTGGAAGTCCCGTCCATCCCTGCCTCTCTGCACTGCCTCTCCTAGCACACGGTAGAGAACCAGAGATGCTCCTCCACAACAGGTGCAACTTAAGCCTGACTTTTCCTGGACCTTCAAACCTAACTCTTCAGACCTAGCGCCAAAGGAAATCACTGTGCAGAAAGGAAGAGCCGGGCAGTCGGGCCCCCGGCAGGGACTGTTTCTGTCTGGGGGAGCGAATCCTGATACCCCGCTCTGTTCAGCCTCCCCCCAGTTTTCCAGGCTTGCAATGAGAGATGGCTCTTGTGCAGCTCCGCAAATGCTGCTGGAAATAACAAATCCTTGAGTAGTTTGTATGGGGGAAACAGCCACCGTAGCCGAATAAGCTGGTCCTTTGGCGCTGCCCTGGAAGGGGCGGGTAGGTGACACGGGCTTGCAGACGGCAGGAGGATCGCCCGCCCAAGGTGCAGTCGCCCCTAACGTGGGAGCATTGCATGCAGGCTTCCCAGGTCGTTTCACTGCCGAGCTCTCCCTGTTCGTGTTGAACGTGTGGCTGGTGCCATCTAGCGTCTGCTGCCCAGGCAGGATGCGAGAGCGGGGCCTGTGCAAGCCACAGCTATTTGGTAATGGCACATTCAGCCATTGGTTTTCTTTCCAAACTGGAGCAGAAAGTCAAAAGGCTGCCTTGCAAAACCAAGGGGGGTTGGCACAGGAGCACCCGCGCCCCCAGGGTGGTGATATCTGGGCCCGGCAGTCTGGGACAGCCTCACCGAGAACGCTGCGCTGCATCGACGGCAAAACAGACATCGTGGCAGCTCGGCCCGCCCGGTATCCTCGAGTGCCAGGATCACAAATGCATGGGCATTCACCTCTGCAGCACCTGCCCCAGGGTGGGGAGCGCTGTCATCCCTTACTAGGGGAAACTGAGGCACAGGAGGCAGAAGCAACCTTCCCACAGCCACACAGGGGCTGCTGCGTGCAACGAGCTGCCTAGTCGTGTGCTTCGGTGTCTACGTGAGCGGAGGAGCGGCCTGTTTGGGGCTCGGTGCAGCGGGAGACAGGAGGAGCTCCGCACGGGGCTGGCTGGGAGGTGCCGCTGGGCTAGCAGCCGTGCCGCTGCGACTACCTGGGCCAGGTGAGTCCAGGCCTGAGTTAGGCAGACAAATGGAGACAGCAGAGCCCCAAACCACTTGCATAATCTCCAGGGCGGTTGGGTTCTTGCTCCTGAGCTGTTCTTGCAAACAAACATCCCCGAGGGAAGGAGTGCCCTATTTACGGAAAACCAAGCAAGTCCCACAACGCCGCCTCCTTGAGAAACATCCCGGGGAGAGTCGAAATCAAATCAAAGGAGAAGTAATTAGCCCTTGAAACTGCAGTCAAAGCCTCTGCAAGATTGCACAAGCCCCATTTGTTCTCTTTGCTCAGCTGGGTGCTACTGTTTGAACTCGGTGTCATGCAAATAATGCATTGGATCAGTCAGTTATAACCCCATCATCCTGGGAAAACCTTTTGAGTCGTTCCAATGCTTCTCTCATTTCCTGAGCTGATGAGCCCGAGTGATTCAGCTCCCATGCCCTGCAGCGAGTCCCAGCCACGGCACTGGGCTGTCGTGAGCCCCCTCTTCTTCTGGCAGAAAACTAGGTGTTTACTACGTGCTCTGCAAGTAGCGGGGAAAGTTGCTAACTCTGCCTTTTGGTGTCAAGGAAGGTGCCGGCAGAAATACAAAGATGCATAGAGGGGGAAAATGAACGAACCCTACAAAGATCTGGGAAAAGATCAGAAGACCCTTGTCCCAGGGACGCTGCGGTGTGGTCTGTGGGCCGTGTTGTAAAATTAGCCACTTGCGGTGATGTGTGCATTCATCTCATTTAGTCTCTGTCTTAACTTGTACACCAGAATTTGTACAGGGTACATCCCTCTGGGACAGGGACCCTCCTTCTTCTGTTTGTCCAGCGCCGTGCACAGTGAGGCTCTGGCTCATTAGTCTGACCCTGGGTTCACCCGAACATCTGGAGAGGACGGTTCACCCGCAGCCCCTTTGATAGAGGATGCTGCTCTTCCCCTGGACTCTGCAATCATCGCTGCCCCACGGGAGCACGACTGGGAGCTCAGGGTTTGGGCTTGACACCAAACCAGTGACTAGTTGGTGCTGCAAATGATGAATTAGCTGTAGCTTTCTGCTTCTTCTTCGAATAGTGCTACAATCCCCAAGTTTCTTTCTCTTATTCTCAGACTTTCACGGCTTAAAAATCATTCTCACTGGGCCATCTTTGTGGTATTCAGCAGAGTAGGAAAACCTGGCCAGCCCCGTGTTTCTTTCTGCGCCTACCTGAAGTGATGGCAGCGTTTGCAGATTTGCAGCCAGGTGCCTTCAAGTCTCTTTCCGTGCTGTTATTTCTGTCTACTCAAGTTTCCCAGGCAGAGAAAGCAGTAGAGAGTAAAAGAAAAAAGGCCCCAAAAGTGCTCCATTTGCAGTCAGGTGGGGAGGGAGGGAGGGAGTGGGTGGGCAGCTGCTGTTAGCTTCAAGCTGAATTTGTGGCTGGCCGTTTCCCCGTGTTCACGACCTGCAATGCTGCGTTGGGTTAAGCCCCCCGCCTGCACTGTTGGCGCAGAAGAGACATAGCCACAGAGATGCAGAAAGTGGTAGTCACCTTTCTTAAACCATCCCATCCCATCCCATCCCATCCCACGCTGACCCTGCCTCTTCCTGCAAGCCCCCATGCAAGGGATTTCAGAGCATCCCTTAGCAGTCCTGCTGCTCCCAGTTAGGAAGCAAATCCCCCTCGAAGCTAATCAGACACAGGAAAGAGCACGTGGCGCTCTGGCTCAGCTGGACTCATCTCCTTGTGTTCCTTTTCAGAAGTAACGGCGTCAAGATTGCCAGCACGATCCAAGGAAAAAGCGTGCCAGGTACAGATAATAATGCTCAGCTGGGCTAGGAAGAGGGGGCAGACACATCCCCCGCCATCCACATAGGGCACTTCAGACCAGAAGGGCTGCTGGTCTGGTGGCTGGGTTTCCCCCCGACACGTGGCCCAGGTCTTTGGTGAATTCGTGATGGATAGGAGGGTCCTCTGCCTGCTGCACCCGAAAAGGGGTTTGCTACCTGAACCCAGCCCGGTCAGGGCTTGCGGCTTGGGGGAAGGCACGTGCAGGGAGTCTGCACCCAGAGGAGACTCTGCAGCTGGGTTTCTTGGCAGGCGCTGATGGGGTAGAAACAAGGGGTGATGGACTCCTTCCCGGGTAACATAGGTGCCAGGTGATCCAAACCCTCCCGGACCTATGGGTCAGGGGCCCAATTCCCCTCGGCCTGCAGCACATTGGGTGTTTCTGAGGAGCGCTGGGAACCCTGCAGAAGTTTGCCTGCCAGGACTGCAGCACTGAGCTTCCCCGACTCTCTCTCTCTCTCTAGGGAAGTGATTGAAGAACTGACTTTAGCAGCTGCCCAGTCCTCCGTGCCGCACAGCCTGCATTCGTCCTCTCTACCGGGAGCTCGGCTCATGCTCTGCAGAAGACAGCTCAGCCCTGCGCCGGCTCAGGTGGGGGGAGATGGACTTTGAGCCTTGACCCCACTCTCCACCCTGTCTCGCTGTGTTTCTTCAACCATCTCGTCGCTTTTCTTCCCTGGGCCTCACCTGAGGACTTCTGTAGTCAGCGGCTGAACTTGAACCTCTGCCCTTTCACCTCCCAGAAGTAACAGCCTAGGTTAGTGGATAGTGCATGGGGAACTGAGGCTTTCTTTGCCCTTAGCTGTAAGGTGAAGCTCATGTGGCCACTTGAGAATCCATACGCAGGTGAGACCCCTTGGTAGCCTGGCTATCGCCAATCCCAAAAGAGATGCCCGACCGAAAGGGAGCATGAGCTGGTGGGCTCGCAGTCAGGATGTGTCCCGAGCTGGCTGTACGGCTCTGGGCAGGAGATGTGCAGCCCGCTCTGCAAAGTGGTCATTAGAAAACACTTACCTACCTGGCAGCCACATCGGGAGGCTTCACTGACTCGCGTTTCTAAAGTGCTTTGAGATCCCCAGGGGAAGGACCGCTGTCACATGCACAGTGAAATAAACCACTTTACTCTTCTGCCGAGGAGGAGTCTTTTGTTGGTGTCCCAGCCGTCGTCCCCAGGGTCCGGCCAGCCCGCTGGTCTGGTCCACTGAGGGGTCCGGCCTGCTGCCCGCTTGCTCCGTCCTCCCGGCGCCGTGCGGGACCGGCACGAGCAGCGCTCCTGAAACACCACCGATTTCCAGCCCAGGTCCCCCCTGGAGAGCAGCAGGGCAGCGAGACTGGCAGCTGTGCATGACTTACAAATCCTTAAAAAAAAAAATTCAAGATTTCAGAATGAAGTTCATTCCCAAGCGGCTTGTTGATATTTTGATGCTCTTTAATGACACGGCAGGAGTAGTAACGCGTAACGGGCCGTTGGTCTCGTGGGAGACCAGGCGCGGGAGCCCACGCCGGCTTGATTCATGTACGAAGTTGTATTCGAAGTCTCCTGTTCATCTATTTCATCTTCCAAATCATTGAAGGGAAGATGCTACTTACTGACGGAAGCTGATTTCCTAGATCAAAGCATTTGCTGTGTGTGGTTTAATGAGGCACACTGACATCTGAAGAAAAGAGAAGCACCAATTAGAGGAGCACCTGCTGTTAATAGCCTCCTATTAGCCTAGAAACCTTTTCCGAGATGATTAAAGACTAAATAATAGGTGCGGGTGAAGGGAAGGACCAAAAGAGAGGTGGTGGACTCTCCATCCTTGGAGGTGTTTAAGACCTGGGTAGACAAAGCCCTGGCTGGGATGATGTAGCTGGGGCTGGTCCTGCTTGGAGCAGGGGCTGCACTAGATGCGACCTCCTGAGCTCCCTTCAACCCTCCTTTTCTATGATTTTGAGAGAAGTGACTTGAGAAGGTTAATTTCCTTTTATTAAAACATTTCTTCAACAAAAACTGGCTTTTCCCATACAGCAGGAGAGGCTTCCCAGGCATAGTTTATAGTAATTGTTTCCAGAAACAGGAAACCAAAAATTTGAAGCCAACCCTGTTTTTAGTGGAGGGGCGACGGCAGCAGCCCGTGCACAGGCACATTTGCAGTGTGCACCACGGCGGAGCAATTTGGCCCATTCCCATGAGCTGAGTGGGTCTTGGACCTCTCTGCAAGGCCAGCACCAGCTCCAGCTCCAGCTCCAGCTCCGCTCAGCAATCCCAGGCATGGAGATGCCTCCTGCAGCCCAATAAATGCCAAAGACGCTTTTGGAACCTGGGCAAGTGTAAAACCCATTTCATTCATAAGCAGCAATGCACAATATATCCAAGGACACACTCCTGTCCCCTGAGGGGGCATGTTGAGAACGAAAGACGGCACGGACCAGGAGAGATTGGGGGGCATCTCTTAGCTCAGGTGCGTCCCTGATGCACTTGGAGGCCAGACTCAGACGGGTTGTGTTGGTGCCCGCACAGAAATGTATGCACCCAAAGGGAATCCACGTTGGCCTTATTCCCACAGCCACAACCTCCACGAGGTGCCAGGGTCCATTTGGCACCTGTCTTTGGACCTGCCAAGTGTCCTTGACATCTGCTCTCGCTGGCTTTTTCTCCCCGAGCTCTCTGCACCCTTTAGAGATGCCGACCCCTCCCCATTCCCTGTATAGAGGCTGTCTCCTTGGGTCCCTTTTTGGAGGCACCCAGGTCTCAGCATTGACTGAATCGGGACCCAAGGTGCCTGACGGGGTCAAGCACCTTATTATTTGGCATTGAAGAAGTGGCCAATTTGGGTCTAGCCTTCAGTCCCTCGTGCTGATTTAACGCGGCACGTATGAAGGTGCCCAGCTTGCAGGGAGCATGCCAATCAAGGTGCAAGGAGGATGCAAGATGGGATTGAGAGAGCTCTACCAGGGCTTTGCAGGCATTAAGTAACAGCTGTACTTTCCCTTCTAGCTGAGTCCTAAAGCAAATATACTCTGTGCAATCACAAACCTCACTGCGGCTCATTCCCAAGACCTTGACAGACCTGGGTGCGTTTGGCCCTGTTCTCAACGTGATCCGCTCTGCAACTAAATAGCTGCTCACTGAGCAGATTCAAGTGGCACCGCCACAGGTGCATGGGAGGAAATCCCCAAATCTGAGCACATGAGGTGTCTCTTCTTCCTCGGAGTCTTCTGCCCGGGCCTCTCTGTTCCCTGCAGATTCTGCCGTAGAGATCGTCTCCCCGAGACTACCTCTCTTCCCCTCCAATGCAGAGGCTCCCTGCCTGCATTTCCCCTACATCTGCCCTGCTCCAGGTGTGACTTGGAGGTCAGGTCCTGGAGCTCCCTTTAGGGTCTCTTGCAAGAGCCTTCTTGCTTATGGCAGCCCTCTACCCACGTCGAGAGAGCGGGGAGCTCCCAGCTAACGGGGCACGGCAGTGAAATGCCGGCAGCCCCCTTTCCGGCAGCCCCTGCCTCGCTCAGCTCGCAGGACAATGCCTCTGCTCTCCGGGGGAATAGCTATGCTAATGAACACCTCCCAGGATGCAGATGTCATGGCTCGAGTCAGCCACGGCGCTAGCATTGAGACCGTGTGAAGGGAACAAGTGCACGCTGTACTTTCCCCTTTAACCTTGTCCTAATGCAAATAGTCAATTGGCTCATAAAACTTCATTGCAATTTTGTCTCCAGCTCTCTTGGCAGAACACCCTGATACCCTTCATTTTAAGCCATGGCTCGGTCTGTCAATAGTCCCTGCTGATAAGGCTCAGGTGATGTTTTTTGTGGACTTTGGCAGAATTGCACTTGACCCCCCCACTCCTCCCGCTGACCTTTATAGGCCTTGGCAATGGGCTTGTCATGAGTCCCTTCCTGCTACCAGACCGGCACCAAATGGCATGACAATCTGGGGTGCAACACAGCATCCCCCAGACCAGCCTGGCCATTGCCGACTGCCCGTTCCTATCTGTACTGAGCCTTGCTGGTGACGTGCCCAAGAAGCTCTTACTGAGTCATCTCCAGGAAAATCCTTAGACGTCGTAGTAGAGGGAGGGCCTGGGCCATCCTCACTGCTACACTGCAAAGGGGCAGGCACCGGGCGAGGGAATAGCTGTGCTCCCCAACCATCCTTTGCAACGAGGGAGTTGCATCTTTCATAAAAGGGAGCAGATGCCTTCGGTCTGGGTGCAAAGGGCACGTGCGTCTACCCAGCCAGACAGACAGACGCTCCATCAGAAGAGTCCTTAAGCGTTCAGCCCCTTCGCAGCGGAGACTCGAGCGTGCTTGTTGCTTGGTCTCTGGGAATTACATTTTACTACATCTCAGAAAAAAGTTCACAAGCTGCTAAGCAAAGACCCAGGCAGCAGCAGTCTCTTGTAACCACGAAAACAGAATCTCTTTGAGCCAAAATCATGTTGGACCAGGATAGCGGGATCATGTCAGGAGTCTTCCTGGAAATAGCAGGGTCAGAGCTGGAAATGGGCAGAGACCTCCGTCATGCCATTAGGGAGAGCCATAGCAAGAGGAATTGCGTCGTGATGCCAGATACTCGTGTCCCAGCTACAGACTGGCGCGCAAATGCTGCTAACACCAATGCGTTGTCTGCCAGGTGTCTTCACCAAGGGGCCACGGAGCCGACACGAGCCGACTCGGCCGAAGAAGAGCTGGATCAGTGATTTCCAACCAGGGAGCGGTGCGAGTCCTCCCGGGATACCACGGGGTGCTGCACAACATCGGCACTGCTCAGGGCGCAAACAACCAGACAAGATCCACCAGCTAAACCCAGAGGTTTCCAGTGGGGATCCAGAGTATCCGAACCCCTCTGCCCTGGTGCAGTCTTCCCGAGTGCTTTGCAGCTCAAGAATTGCTCTAGCATTGTTCCAGAGTGAAAAGACAAATAAGAGCTGGCATTTCCCATGGGTCAAGCCTGTCTCTGCAGCCTTGAGTCTAACCAGCATTTTCCATGAGATGCCTTGAGTCTACCCAAGCTGCATGGAGGCAGAAAATAATCTTGGATTGGGTGATCACAGGTTGTTTCTGTTTAAATTAAACGGAAAGATGATGATAAAAAATGGCTCATCAGTGAAGGCTTCTGATTGCAAAGAGGGAAGTGGTGAAGTCAACTGGCCGGAAGAACTCTGCGCCTTGAGCGGAGAGTCTGGATGCTTCTTGCCGTCGAAGGTGCGAGAGCTATCAGGAGTTTGTATCTCCAGCAAGGGGAGGGGTCCAGACCAGCTAGATGAATGGCCGCTCTGCAAAGGGCATGAAGAGTAAGCAGATGTTTTCTGACCACCCGAGGTTCAGGAATAGCGTCCCGAAAGGAAGTGGAGGTGAGCAGGGGGCAAGAAAGCAGAGCCCAGGCCGGCTCTGAATGGGACGACAGGACGTGGTGGGACGTGATCATGGGCAACTGGGCTCCACTGCGGAGCGGGCCCCTTCTGCTCCTGCCTTCCAGTGTGAATCATTAGCTAGAAGTCAAGGCCTCAGTAAATGCTGCCAGACTTTGGAGGGCTGTTTCACAACCAGGTTGGATGCGCAGGCCCCCCAGGCCGTGCGGGGGCATAGTGAATATATACGCACACCCCGCCGCGGTCTGCGTCTTGGGGAAACCATCTCCCGAGCAGAGCCCTGGCAGACCACACCAGACCAGACCTTCATCCCAGCATGAGGAAGGCCGCCAGCACGGTTGTGCTGCTTGCCCTAGCACTTTCCCACTTCTCAGGTGAGTCACTCTTGGGCGCAGCCCGGTGCTGCCGTTCCCCGCTCCAGGACCCGGACACGCTCCATGTCATGACCAAGTGGAGCGAGGTCTCGCTGGAAGACCGGGGCCGACACTTCAATGCAGCTCTCATGGGGCCTTCAGTTTGGGGAGTAGAAATAGCTGCAGACACAGTTTTGCACTGAGCGGATGCCATGAAGAGCATGATACGGGTCCGGCCAGATGTTTTCAACATCCTCTCTGCCAGTGCACGCACTGCAGATGCAGACATTACTGCTGCATTGAGTGGGACATGCCAGGAGATGCCCAGGCAGTTTTACAGGATGACAGTCTGCCCAGAAAATCCCAGAATTAAAAGATGAAACTCTTTAAAACCCCCCCCCAAAAAACTTTTAAAACGGGTGTTTTATGAAAGGCATAATTGTCACCCTCCGTTTCCTGTAAACCTTTGCTTATTATCATGTACCCGGCTGCATCACGTATTTGTCTTGCCTTATGTATATTGCCCCTTATAAACCCAGACTATCCTCTGACACCATGAGAAAGGGCTGCGCTAAAAAAAAATCATTTTTTTTCTAATTAATAAATAACCATCTCCAAAAAAAAAAAAAGAAGAAAGGAGAAAGAAAGAACAGCAGTAATAGCACAGTACACTGTGTTAAACACTAGGAAACTCTATGGTCGTTTATGATCTTAGTACAAAAATCTCACACATTTTATTTAGTCCAAGAAAGAGTCACTGGATTTGAAACCGCATTTATTCATGGAGTAATATGCTTTCTCGCGGTGCCTGTTCACGGTTACTGGATTTGAAACCGCATTTATTCATGGAGTAATACGCTTTCTCTCCTTGCCTGCTCGTGGTTTAGCTTGGTTTCATGGTTTCTATCTGTCCTTTTCTTTTAGGCGGTGCTCTTGGATCAGAGGTGAGTGGTCGATGTCTCCATATTTTCCGTGTCGCTCTCTCGACCGCTGGCCAGCAGCAGGGTTGGGAAGTGCAGTGCGGCCAAGCGGACAGAGCGCGCGGGCACCTCCACCCGCTTTCCCCGCTGTCACCAAACACGTGGCTGGGCCATTATTGCCCCTTTCAGCGACACTTGCCAGGCTGGTCAGCGGGCCTATTACTGAACTACTGGTTAACTAAATAATTGTGAATCTATGAAGCTAAATAATCATGCAGACTTAGTATACCCATTGATAATATATTACACTAAAAGAGTAGTCTGGTAGATTAAGAAGCAGAGCTCCCTAAATGCTGTCTGTGTGGAAGAATATAACCCTAGGGGCACGTACTCCACTCCCATACAGTCGGGCTCAAGGAAGTTCATGCTAGATGCAATCTGTGCTAGGGCTACACGAGAGCAACCAAGCCATACCACACGATAGCAAACAGGTCCTTTGACTTGCAGGTTGATCCCAGATGAGGCTCGGTCACCGCAGTACTAGATTAGCTGACTCCAGCCGGGGAGGAGATGTGAGGATCCTCGTACGGCTCGGACTAGGATAAAGGCTCCGGTGGCATGTGTCTGTCGGCATGCTTTGCAAGTGCCGAGACAGTTCCTGGTCTCATTAAAGCATAATTGGAAACTCATAAGATTTGAGGGCTGCAGACTTGAGCCGAAGGTTAGGCTTCCACACCAGGTGGTTTCCCTTGCCCTGAATGCAGGTCTCGGGGGTCCTCACTCCTGGCTGTGCAATGCATTCATTTGCCTCCAGCAGGAGACGCCAGGAAAGATCGCTGTAGGACTGACTTGCACCATTCAGGACGGGAGAATAAGTTTAAAATAACCCTAACTGGTCTGCAAAAGGGCTGGGAGGCGCAGGCAGGGGAGATAACCCCCGGGTCAGGATTCACAGGAGCCAGACTGCCCGAGGATCATTGCTTTATTGCTTTTGCAGCTGAATTGCAGTCAGTACTCCCGGGTCGCAGCTAAGGATGGCAAAGCGCTGATTGTCTGCCCTCGACACCTGGAACCAGTCTGTGGCACAGACGGCGTCTCCTACAGCAACGACTGTGGGATCTGCGTCCATAACTCGTGAGTACCGCGCAAGCCTTCCAGGTCGTTCCTCTTTAAACAGGCCAAAAACTCTGCTTTACTGTTTCCAGACTGGCCTGTTTCTGGGGCTCTCGTAGCCCCTGGCCCTTCTCCTCACCTCTCCGACCTCTGGGTTTCCTCCTCCTCCCCGTCTGTGCTCAAGAGGGGTATGCAGGAAAAGCCAGATGACAACCCAAATTGCAAGTAGGTCAGTGGGGCTTGAGGAGAGAAAAGCATGGCAAACCCGGCAGCACCTGGAGACGGGCAATTGGGCACGACTGCTGCCAGCAGGACGATGCTTGTCGGTGCTGCTGATGCCGCCTTGTAGCGGCATGGGTGGAGGAAACCCATCCAGCAACTCCGACATCTCCTGTAGTAAATGGGAGCTCAGCTCCCATCCCAGCACCCAGAGCTCAGCAGTGAGGCCTGCTCTTCTCCCTGAGCTCCCTAACACCCGTTTCCTCTTCTTCTAGAGAGCACGAAGCAGACGTTGGTGTAAGACACCAGGGACAATGCCAGCAGGGGCTGCTCCCGGTGAGTGCCGTGTCTTCCCTGGACCTCACAGAGAGGGGTCAGGCGTGATAAGCCTGGGGTCCGGTGATGCACAGACCGTGTCTGTCCGGTCCGCATCCCGGGGTGGTTTTATCGGGGCACGACATCAGCACGCAATGGCTAGCCTGGTACCTACGGTTCCTCGTACAGGAGGACTGCAGCAAGTACCCATCCCGGACGACCAAGAGTGGCAAAGTACTGGTATTCTGCCCTCGGATCTACAGTCCCGTCTGCGGCACAGACGGCGTCTCGTACAGCAGCCTCTGTGAGATCTGTGCCCATAACCTGTAAGTGCCCTGTGAAGAACGGTCCTTTGGGGGGAGCAGAGCCGTGTGGCCCCGACAGAAGACCCGACAGTTTTCCCAGGTGCCCCCTAGGCACTGCCCCCTCCCCAGTTCACCCAGCACGTCCCCTCCAGCCGGGCTGTGCCGCTGGGAGGGGGAGCCTGCAACGGCCAGACGCCAAGGTGCAGGGTGCAGCTGGGACAAGAGACGGAAGGAACCAGAGTTATTCTAGCGGAGGGAACGCGCGTTGCGTCCACTCCTGATGGGCTCCTCCAGGTCCTCGTGGGGGGTGGGGGTGCGGCCTTGCAGAAGGGGATCACAGACTCGTAGACAAGGAGGGTGGAAGGGAGCTCAGGAGTCACATCTATCCAACCCCTGCTCCAAGCAGGACCAGCCCCGACTACATCATCCCAGCCAGGGCTTCATCTACCTGGGCTTTAAAACCTCCAGGGACTGAGATCCCACCACCTCTCTGGGGAGCCTGGTCCAGGGCTTCACCACCCTTCTAGTGAGAGAGTTTTTCCTAATATCCAACCTGCTGCAGCTGGAGCCCATTGCTCCTTGTCCTGTCATCTGCCCCCACTGAGACCAGACTATATAAGCCCAGTTCCCTCGGCCTCTCCTCACCAGTCCTGTCCCCAGACCCACAACCATTTTCATTGCCCTCCACTGGACTCTCTCCAACGTGTCCACATCCCTTCCGACCCTAACATCTATGAATCTATGAATCCTTTCTGCCGTGGGGGCCACAGCTGGACACAGCACTCCAGATGTGTCCATTGTTCATGAGCACAGAGCACGAGGAGGGCAGCTGTGCACTGCCTCCCTTAACACTTGCTATCTCCATCTCCCAGAGAGCACGGGGCACACATTGGCAAGAAGCATGATGGAGAGTGCAAGAAGGACATCCAGAAGGTAAACAAGAATAGGAGCCAGGTCCTTCCCCCACTCATATCCACATCCACGCTCCCGAGTCCTTCCCTGAGAGCTGGCCAGGCCCCCTCTGCCTGGTGCGAGACCTCGTGCCGGTGGATGACCCCAGACGGCCCTTGTCTGTGCACCGCACTGTAATGCCGGGAGAAAGAAAGGGAGGGAGTAGAAGAGGGAGAAGGGATGAGCACGACCCCAGAGTCAGACACGTGCCAGCGATGTCAGACGGGGACTAGAAACCCTTTCCCAGGGCAGAGCTGAATGGATTAGCAGGGACAGGGCGAGTCAGAATAGCAGAGGCTTGGGGGAAAACGCCTTGATTTAAACTGGTTGCTTAACACTTCTACATAAAACATCTAGTCATGCCACGAGGGCAGAGAGGCGTCTGCGGAGAGACAGGGCTCAGAGCCTGATCTGTCTGCGCAGTTTTGCCTCCTCACCTAACAGCCTGGCCTAGTGGGAGAGACAGGGATCCAGCTGACTTTCCCCATCCGGGGGATTCGGGATGGAAAGAGATACCCCTGGCACAAGGGCCCAACTTGGAGACAAGGGGGAAAGTGGAGGAGAGGGAGACCTGGGCATCACCACAGAGGACGAAGGTCCCCTATTTGCCTTTACAGCTCGATTGCAGCCAGTACCCCGGTAGCGCTGAGCACGGGACAGCCTGTCCGCTCATCCTGGATGAAGTGTGTGGGACAGACGGTGTCACGTATGCCAGTGCCTGCATGCTGTGTGCTCACAACCGGTGAGGAGCAGACCGGGACTGCGCTCCCGGAGCGACTAGCCGCGGGCAGACCTCCTCGGTCGTGAGCTGGTCTGTGACTTGCTGCAAAGTCCGCTCTGAGTTTCCTCCCTCGCTGCCTCTTTCTGCTCAAGAGTTGTCTCCGGGAGAGCCGGACCATGGCCGCAGAGCGCAACGACTGGCTGCATCGGGACTGGGTAGACTGGGAAAAATGAGCCCCGGTGCTGTTGGAGATAGCACAGGAATGGCCCGTTACTGGAGATAGCGCGGCCTCGGTCCCTGCATAGCGAGCGTGGAGCTGGGGATGTTGGGGAAGGTCCTGACAAGCTTCACCAGACACGTCCTGTGTCACCTAAAATGGGGGCAGGTTTGGCTCATCTTTCCAACATGCAAAACGGCATGGGAAGAGGGACTTGGGGAGTCCCTAAACGAGTCTCTCCTTCTTCCAGGGAACAAAGGACCAGCATTGATGTCAAGCACGATGGGACATGCAAGCCAGACTTTGCTCCGGTAAGCCTGCCGCACGGCCCAGCTCCATCCCCCTTCGCCCTCCCTCGAGCCACGTGCATAGAGCGAAGTGAGGAGTCGCTTTTGGACTGGCCGCAGCACAGCGAGAATATAGCCCGAGCACCTGAAACAGCCACGGTCCATATAGTGCTGCAAGCTGTCAGAGGAAACAGCAGGGGATAAAACACTGGCACACTGAGACAGGCAGCAGAAATGGCCCCGTGCTGGAGAGCAGTTCATATAAATCCCAATCCCAAGGCCATCTCCTCTTTCAGCAAGTCAGGCTTTTTGGTGATAACTTTTTATTGGACCAGCTGTGTAATTCAGAGACAGTCGACAAGGTTTCAGGCACAAAGCATCCCTCTTTTTGCAACAGCCTCTGAATCACTGATCAGGCTGTTTCAATATTATGGGAAGCGGGGATATAAGACCCCACGCTGTCAGAGCATTGCCTCTTTGCGAACTGGCAGTGGGACGGCAATATGCGGGGCAGGTTGCATATAACCTTTGCTCCCAGTATGCAAGGGTGCTTGCATTACCTGCTGCTCTGCTCACAGATAAAACATGATTTTTTACACCACAAAGCAAGACCCGCACACCAGTATTAATGAGGTGAGTTGATTTTGTGTAAAGCTGGGCTGTCAAAACCAAAGGGGATCGTTTCATATTTCAAGAAGTGAAATGATCTCCAGGCTATTTATTTGAAAGAACCAAACACCTTGCATTCAGAAACTCCACTTCCATACAGCCTGGTTTATAAGTGTCATTCCCCTTTTTTTTTTTTTTTGTCCCTGAGAAAATCTGCATTTAGACTACACAACGTAAGGCAGAAATCAGTCAGTGGGGCAGAAAATATGAAATAATATCAGAGGAGGTAAAACTTCCCCCATTGAACTCTTGAGAGGGCTATTATTCATTTCATACCAGCTGAGGATTGTGCCCAGATTTTTTCTTTTCTTTTCTTTTTAGTGGCAGTTGGTGTTTAATCACAAAATGAAATAAAATTTAGAAGGAAAACTCCCCTTTATTTTATTTGGGGGTTTTTTTTGGCAGGATCTGAAATCCATTCTTGGACTTATTGCACCTGCTGGACTCAAAAAGTCAGGGCTTGCGCTGTGGGGCTCTGACTCCAAAGCCTAGATAGCGCTACTAAAACCTGGGGGCTTCAGGCTGAATCCAATTGCCTTGGCTCATATCTCATGGAGGAGCTGGCTCCTAGCTTGTCTTGTTGTAAAACATATGAATCCCAGGGCAGAGCGGGGGGCGCGGCGGTGACGGCGTCACCCCAGCACCACTGCTGTTATTTCTGCAGCTGAACTGCAGCTCCTACCCGTCCAGGACCACAGAGGAGGACAAAGTAATAATAAGCTGCCCAAGGATCCTGAGCCCAGTCTGCAGCACAGACGACGTCACGTTCGCCAACGACTGTGAGATCTGCGCCCATAATGCGTAAGCATACTACTGAGAGCACCCCCCAAGAAGACGTAGCTAGTTGTGTGTATGACATGGTAGAGGCATGCACCACTATCGATAGCGTCTGTAAGCCTCTAAACCACTGCCCCTCATCTTTACATCCCTGATTTACCCAGCATTTCCCCTCCGGCCACTCTGTGCTCACAGTCAGGAAAGCCTGAAAGAGGCAAACCACAGTGTGCGGGATGCAGCAGCGGTGGGATGAGCGGTCCTGGGCCAGGAGAAAAAGGGTTCTGGATTATTAATCCAGGGGCTAGAGCAAAGGGAGAGGCTGAATGCCTGCCAACGGACACGGTCCTGCTACTGAGTGGTGCTGACACCACCTCGGCGGTGACGCATTAACCCGATCGCGCGCCTCAACTTTATACAAGAGCTTTATTCATTTTTCATGAGTGCAGAGCGCGGTTTTACGCCACAAAGCAAGAACCACGCAAAAGTATTAATGAGGCGAGTTGATTTTGTGTGAAGCTGAGCAGTCAAAGCCAAAAGGGATAGTTTAATATTTCAGGAAGTGAAATTATCTCCAGGCTATTTATTTGAAAGAACCGAACACCTTGGATTCAGAAACCCCACTTCCATACAGCCCGGTTGATGCATGTCATTCCTTTTTGATTTCTCTGAGAAAACCTGCATTTAGGCCACATCAAGCAGGCAGATAGCGTAGGGTGAGTCATGCGCTGCGCCCCCAATCCTTGCTATCTCCATCTGCAGGGAGCACAGGACAAACATTAACAAAAAGCATGATGGCGCATGCAAGAAGGAAACCACTAAGGTAGGTGAGAAAAGGAGCCTGGTCCTTTCCCTGCTGAGAGCCACATGCACGCTCCCGGGGGCTTCTCTGAGAGCCGGCCAGCCCCTGCATGGCGCCAGGTGAGGCACAGACCTTGCCCGGGGGTGGCTTGTCTCGACATGACCCCCTAGGGACATTGCCCGTGCACCGTGCTGTGACACAGGGAGAAAGAAAGAGGGGGTAGCAGAGGGAGAGGGGGTGAGCACGAGGTGCCAGAAATGTAGAAGTGAGACCTGACGTCCTTTCCCGTGCCGCAGCCTTCTGCAAACTGGCTAGTACTGACAATAATCCTGACCAGAGCCCCGGGGAAGGGACAGTCCAGGCCCTGGTGGACTCCAGAGCTTCCCTTTTTTGATGGAAAGCTTTCCTAAGGTAATACCTGGTACTCGGAAAAGACTTTCCAAGGTGATCTGGACAGGTAGGCCGGGCAGCCCCAAGGACAGGGCGAATCGGGACAACTGAGGCTGAGTGGAAAGCTCCTTGAATTAAATTGGTTGCACGTGATGTCTAGTCTAGATCTCCCCTGAGAGGGCCTGGTGCCTAATTCACTTGGGCAGCTGATGCTTCCTGAGCTCATAGTAGGACACAGCGGGAGGAAACAAGGGCTTCCTGGACCGTCCCCATCCGTGTGGCAAGAGGAGCCGAGCTTGTCCCGTGGCAGAAGGGGCGAACTCTGGAGAGCAGCGTATATAAATCCCATTCCCAAGGCAATCTGTTCTTGCCCATCACCCTGGGCACTGAGCAGTCGTCTTAATACTATGGAAAGGGAGCCATAAGGGCCATATAGATACTGGCCGTTCACCTCTTTGGCTACTGGGATTTAAAAGATGAAATACCATGCAGGTTGTGTAGCGCCTGCCTTGTGTAGCACACTGTCTTCTGAGCGCAGCCTTTCTTCCCGGTTTTCAAGGGGATTTGAAACACCTGTGCTTTCTTCCCCCCACAAAGACAACGTGCCAAAAGGCATGTGCTTATCGCGCCGCATGATTGTTGAGTTGCATTCTGCATCGATGTGACATTTCTAAGCCAAAAGGGACAATCTGGTGTTTCAAGCAGCAGCCCTATGCCGAGGCGTGCTATACATTAGAAACGGTAAAGCCCTCGTGTTCATGTGCAGTCGGATCCGTGGGATGTATTCCTTCTGATTCCTGAACAATTCTGCACTTTAACCATGGCAAACACCCAAGGGAGCAGAGAGTCACAATGCTGGGGAAAGCACAAAAATAACTAAATGGCTGGAGCATTGCAAAACGACTTCCAGTGACTTTAACATCGCTCCATCAGCTTCACCCCGGTCTTTGACAGAATCAGGCCAGGGCTGGTAGCCCGTCTCCTCGTGTATTTTTTTTCCTGGCAAATGCACAAGTCAGTCATTAGCCCCTTTGAACCCACGCAAGTCTTTACCCAAGTGGGCTTGAGTTGGGGTTTGAGTTGCTGGCTTTGGAGTCGAGTCCATCCGGGGCATCGCACAGCATCCAGGCCTAAGCGAATGCTCCTTGCTGCCCGCTGCTCATCCCTTCCTTTCCAGCAGGAGAGAAGGGGGAAGCGTAGTGGAGACCTGACGTGGCCCCCATCTGATGGGAGAGTTAGCACAGACTAGGGTGCCTTTGAAGTGATCCCCGAAGGGAGCAAGGCTGGGTGCAGCGAGAGGAGGCTGCCCTCAACACGATGTCCCGTGGCAACTCCCCCCATTGCACTGCTATTACTACTGCAGGTGGATTGCAGCCAGTACCCCACCACGATTTCTGAAGAAGGAGACACGCTTATAGGCTGCCCAAGGATCCTGAAGCCTGTCTGCGGCACGGACGGCGTCACCTATGACAACGACTGCGCGATCTGTGCCCACAACGTGTAAGTGCGCTGCTGAGATGCTCAGGTGTGCAAGCACAAGGAGAGCTCCTCCCTAACCTCGGTCTCTCCATCTTCCAGAAAGCATCGTGACGCCAGCGTCAGCAAAAAGCACAATGGGCCTTGTGAACCGGAGACTTCAAAGGTAAAGGAAAGTGGATGCGAAATTCTTCTCCGTCTGGCATCTGTAGGGAGACTCTCACGGCCGTCCCCAATTGCTGGTTCAGGCTTTCTCTGCAGGGACCGGTACAGGGCACAGGCCTCGTGCTGGGTTTGTGCAGAGTTTGCATCCTCGTGCTTGAAAATGCCTGTGTGCTGCACTATAACATAGTGAGAGAGAGAAGGAAATCCACTGGGAGCGGAGTCAGAGTCTAAGAAGAGAAATATCCCAGGGACAAACAGACTTGTAAGCCTTGCCCATGGCCGAGCAGACTAGCAACGGAGCAGTTTGTTCCCAGACCCGAGGAGGGAAGGGGCAAAGCCCCTCTATGTGCCGGTGCATTCACCTGTTTGGGGCCCGAGCATTTGCCAAGGGGTTGCAAGATGATGTTCTGGGCAGGTTGGAAACTCCTCCTGTTGTGATCGCAGACGTGACACCCCTGGGTGCAGGGGGAGTCAGAAACCCGGCTGCTACGTACAAACACCCCCCCCCCCCCCACACAATGACAAGGGGGGGGGCCAGGAGGG